AGAGTGGGTGTTTGTTATTTTTTTGGGAGGGGGTTTAGTTATCATTTTTCATTGTTATTGTTTTGTCATCCGAGATCCCCACCCACTATGGAGTGGCATAAGGATGATGCTAATAACAAGTGGATCTCCAACTTGCAGCACTAATGATACACGGGTGATATATTCAAGTAGAATTAATAAATAGTAACTATTCAACCAGATTGGCCAATGAGCCACCGCCTTATCGAACAATAGTTATCATTGTTAATAACTCTAAGAATACTATCTCTATTACATCCCTGTCATAAATCCTGTATTTTAGCTTCAGTCACACCAACTAAAAGTTTCAGATTTTCAACAGACGTCCTCTTCACTGTCAATCACACACAATTAGTTGTTCCCAAGTAGCATCATAACCACCCAATCTATGACGCATGCAATGGCGGTAACCTCACTTTTTCCTCACATCTAACTACTGGAGGTAGATGAATAGGGGATGTGGGTGGGACAACTTCGGATGTAATGGAGGTAGTATTCTTAGAATTATTAACAATGATAACTATTGCTTGATAATTCTGATGATATCTCTACCTTATTTACATCTCTGCCAGAATATGCCAGAGGGACCAAGTGGGACCTGCCTCTAGTAACTCCCTGTGTAATTGACAGCAATCCTCTTCTGGAAACCATTATTTACTGATTCTAATCCCAACTCGAGATAATTTCCTCTGAATTTCCTCCTGAGGACTTGAAAATCAGAACTGTATCAAGAATCAGTCAAATATGCGATACCTTTACTAGAATTACCGTCATATTTGCTGATCCATTTCCGCTTAATGACATCATTTCACGTTAAATTTGGATTTGTGACACTTCCGGTTTGTCACTTCCCTTTTACTAGGTAATGACGTCTCTCAAGACGTAATTTCCTGATTAGATGGATCTTGTACTACTATTTCCGGTGCTGACGTCACTTCCGGTTTTAGTCTCACTTCCGGTTGATCCATTCCTACACCTAATAGACAGAATAATCAAGGAAGTACTCACCCTCTGATGCAGCTGGTGTCGGATCCTCGCGTCCCCACCCCCTTTTTTCGATAGAAGGGGGAAAACTCTATTGGTTGATGATAGTTTGTGCCGTGACAATAGGACCAAGGGAATACATGTCCTCCAGGTCCGGTTGCACGTCACGCAAGTAAAAACTGGTGAAGGTTTTTTGTGAGGCCCACTGACAGCTAGATACTACTTGTTCTACTCAGACTGATGTGAAGCGAGACTCGTGGCTTGGGCTTTGATTTCATGAGCTGAGCAGGATCCGAGACGTGGCATGGAATTCTGATCTTGTGTATAACTTGCTGCAGCGGTAGTTTTTAGCCAGCCTGCTGTTGTAGCCTTGGTAATGTCCTTGTTGGAATAAGTATTACAAGATAAGAAGAATCTCCTTGATGGCGTCTATGTGAGTCTGTAGTACTTGAGAGTTCTGATTGGACATAAGACTCTGTCTGGGTGATCCACTGTTGGTCCCAAAGCAGGAATGGTATAGTGTATATGGCCCAAAAGTCCCATTGTGGTAGATTAATTCTTGGCTACAAAATCTGGGAGCGATCTTAGAGTTATTGAGGTCCAGTGTTGGTCATGGGTGAGGCTAGAACAGTCCAAGGCATGTAGTTCTGAAACTCTTGCTTCTGTCGCCGTGGCTAGAAGGAAGGACGCTTTCCTGGATTTTTGGAGTAAGGTAGTTTTAGCCATGGGCTTGCAAGGTTCTGTTAACAGTGCCGATAGTACAACTCTTAGATTCCACTTGGGAAGGTGTGCGAACATCTTCTAGTAGAAAGGAAGTCTGTTTAGAATGGGATGGTTTCCGATTGATGATCCGTCATGTTGAGGTACAGAATGAAGAGCCAATCTATAACCTTCTATCGTCCCATGTCAGAATTTATTGTCTTGACATAGATGTAGAGAATCTGCTACCATGAGGATGGATATAGCATTAGTTATAATCCCTTGTCGTTTTTTCAACTGGACGAACTTGTCCCATCTGTTGTCATATATAAGGGAGGATGAAGGTCTCCATGATCTTGCCACATCTTCTGAGGCAATCTCAGGGTATCTGGATGTCTGCATATTCTGCGTGATAACTTCCAAGCGGATAGATGTAGGCTGGACAGATTGTCATGGAAAATGCTGGACTTTGATTTTTATAACAGATCTCGACAGAGGTAACAAGATAGATTCTTCCATTAGTGGTCTTAGTAATCTGGGGAACCACGCTCTGCAATCCGTCTCCTCCACCTTGTGGATGACTTTGACCAGGAGAGACCATGGTGGCAATGTGTATGCAAATAGACCCGTCTAATCCATCGATAGTGAATCGATCTGGTGAGCTCTTGGGTCGGGAACTGGACTGACATAAACCGGAAGTTGATGGTTCTGGCAGGTGGCAAATAGATCCAGGTGTGGAGGGTCCCCTAACGTGGTTATCCGAGCAAAGATCTGGGGATGTAAGGTCCATTCTGTTGCCCCTGGCTGGCGGAACGCAAGGATGTTGAGTTTCTGGGGTATATGTCTCGCTTCCATCTGGTAATTGAAGGAGTCTGTCAAGGCAAACAATTGTGTAGTCTCCATCGCCAGGGAGCTGGATCTGGTTCCTCCCTGTTTCTGGATGTAAGCCACTACTGTGGTGTTGTCCGTGGCTATCAGGATGGACTACTGGGAGAGATGTATCTTCCATTCCAGGATGGTGTAATAGATGGCCTTCATTTCCTTGCATTTAATATGAAGGTTCTGCTCTGGCGTTCAAAGATCCCTGTACCGTGAGATCGTCCATATGGGCTCCCATCCCAAATCTGACGCGTCTGTGAATAGATGCTGTTTGGGCATCGGAGAAGTCAGAGGGATGCCGCTCATCACATGCTCTCTGTGAGACCACCAATGCAGGTCTCGTACGAAGTTGGAAGGTAACTGAGTCTCTAGGCTGTGGGATTGTATAGAGTTGATCCATGTCTGTAGAGGACGTATTATCAGTCTTCCCTCTGTAGGTCATATCCTGTAGAGTCGTTAAGTTGCCTAGAAGAGACATCCACCATCTCAGTGACTTGCTGGGTTGACTTGAAAGTAATTGAATCATCTTGATAGTCATGTCGAATCGATCCTCTGGTGGGCATAGATATCCCTTGTTTAATTGGAATCTTGCTCCGATTTTTATGATGTCTTGAACCGGAGTGATCTCGGATTTGGAAGGATTGACTAGGAAGCCTAGGTAGGTAATAAGTTGGACCAAGAATATCATGTTCTGATGTAACTGAGGTTTCTCTTGGTCTACAGCTAGGAAATCGTCCAGGTATCCATGGATTCAAACAAGCTGGAGGTGAGCAAACTTGATAACTGGTGCTGTAGATGGAGATCATACGGTAACCCGAACGTTTGGACAGTCGGAAGGTAGTCTGTGCTGTAGCCGTTTGTTGTTGGCTGGCTGGTTGGTTGGTCGGTCGACTGGGTTGCCTTGGACGGCTGGCCCATGGAGTCCGTGCGACGACCGTATGGTATCTTAACGGTCGACTGGCTGGATGGCTGGGTTGCCATGGTTGTCTGGGCAATGGAGACCGTGCAGTGCCTGTACGGTATTGTCTCATGGTAGAGAAAAGCCTGCAGATTTATACCTGGGTGGTCGGATGGCTGGTCGGTACGGTCAGCTGAAGACGGCATGGTTTGCAAGGTGTGCGTTGAATTTACAGATGGCAGTCACCCATGTGGACTCGTGACCAGGTGACTTATCTTCGCCAGAGCTATCTTCATATTCACCAGTTCTTCTTCCAGGGCTGAGAATCTAGCCTCAAACATAGTCTTCATCAACTCCTGCTGCTGTTGTTGGATTAGACTCAAGGAGAGTGAAGGAGATTGTTGATCAACTGGATTGCGAGGAGCTGGGGTGAGGCAAATGTCTCGGCTGTGATGACGTCCACACTCTTCTTGGCCGCCTCGCACCTTTTAGCCTTGGTCATAGCCTTGGCTATTTTGATCAAGGTCTTCTTAGATGTGTTGGCGCACTGCTTGCATCTCTTGTCGTCCGTGCAAGTCCTCCCTCTGCGCTCCGTGCAGTTACTATGAGAATCTCCCGTGATTATGAATCGACCACACTTCTTGCAACCGGGAGTAGAGGGAGACTCCATTACGACCTCACAAACACCTAGCTGCAGTTATACTCATGTGCGTGCAATCGTCACTCCGGATGCAGCTATTAATATCTACTAATGTGTCTGTTATTATAGAAAACAACTGGAATAATCTTAGAGTAATGTGACTTACTACCAAGTGCTAGATCGTTACTACTATTACAATAGGTGTTGACTCTAGCACACACAGGAATAAAGTGAGCTTTCTGCCATTGCATGCGTCATAGCTTTGGTGGTTACGATGCTACTTGGGAAAAACTAATTGTGTGTGATTGAAAGTAAAGAGGACGTCTGTTGAAAATCTGAAAATTTTAGTTAGTGTGACTGAAGCTAAAATACAGGATATATGGCAGAGATGTTATAGAGGTTGAGTTTTCGTAAGAATTACAACGTTTCTACTCCATGAGCCTTGTTTCAGAGGAGATGCCAAAAACATAAAAGTTAACCACAAACAGTCAGATTTTACTTTCAGACAGGTGAGCTAAAACGAAAGGTTTTTGAGCTATGAACCATGGCCACGGTGTGTTGAACCATGGTCATTGAGTTGTGAATCTCCGTGTATCACATGTAAGGTATACTGTACCTTGTTTTCATCCATATACTGCTTGTGTTCGAAATTATAGTTCAGAATCGTTTAAATTATTCCGATGCATACACATGTCTGAGACATTGAAAATATCTTTATCAGTCAATACATGAACACATAACATTTACTATCTGAGGAAGCAAGGGTTTTTTACTAAAGTGGTTGGACTCCCGAAACTAAGCATGTTATTAATTCATGTATGGTAGTATTCTTAAGTAGCATACTCTTATCTTCATTCGATTTGTCAAGCTGCTTATTTTTAGAATATATATCTATAACTCTTAGGGTGTGTGTGTGAATGAACAGTTCCATGCTGAATATAAAGGCGTGGAAGACTATTGTGTTTGTCCGTCTTACTGGTCCCAAAGGTAGGTGTTGTGGTTTTATTCATCATCAATGTTTATGCATAATTGAAAACTTAATACATTATTGGTTAGTTTAGGTCCATGAAATAGTGAGGTTACATCATTTAACAAATTAGTGTCCCTTCAACCTAATGGTTTACTTTACATTTGTATAACAGTCTACAGACGAATTGAAATTCCTAATTCCTTGCATGCTGCAATGTGCATATAACGGAGTACGACTCTTTGACCCAGTTGTGGTGCCCATACAATATTCCCATGCACCTACAACAATTTAGTCAGTTTCAATATTAGGTTCGAACAATAACCCTAATGAGTCATATTCACAAAAGCAACTTTGTTATGAGTGGAGGTTTAGCAGCCCGGTTGTTTGAATTCTTTTCATCTATTCATCCCCTTTTTGTCAGTTTGTTGAGTTTGCTGTCCTTTGCCCACAGTTTGGTTGTCTGTGGCTATTGCATGTTTATCCTTGTAGGCATGATGCTATTTCCAAGTGTGTGTCTCGTGAGTCTGCTGAGTTCGTCCTTGGCTGCACCCTTCAGTCGTAGCACAGGCGAAGAACTGCTGGCGGCCCTTGGGACTGGGGTCAGCACAGGACTTGGAGGGGCACTCCATGCTGGGGCCGAGACTGCCGCCAACCTTGCTGTCCACGGTAGGATTAATATTGGTATATGTTACAAAGCAACTATTACATAAGACGTAATCCCATGAAAAGCATAGGACCCGTGAAGATTCCGGGGTAGAATAGGTCTTCAGCAACCCATACTTGCCGTAAAAGGCGACTATGCTTGTGGTAAGAGCCGACTAACGTGATTGGGTGGTCAGGCTCGCTGACTTGGTTGATACATGTCATCGATCCCAATTGCGTGGATCGATGCTGATGATGTCGATCACTGGATTGACTGGTCCAGACTAGATTATTTTACAGACCATCGTCATATAGCTGGAATATTGCTGAGTGCGGCGTTAAACAACAAACAAACAAAACAAACATTAAAAGCATACAGTTATGTAACAAAATATAACGTGAATTCATATTTGATTCTGAAGAAATAGTGTTCAATGCACAATGCGTTACCTGGCTAAATATGTGTTATCGACGGAGTGGGTCGTGTTTAAATTACCACTTGTGTGCCACGACTATTTCCAGGCAGCCATGATAAAGCACTGACACATTCGTGTACCATTTTATGTATTCATTAGAGGTCACATCACTCTTGTCAAATGCTCTTACAAGTATCCTGGGCAAACGCGACATCATAAGTCTGCAACCATTGGAACAAGACCTGAAGACATCTATAGCAACTGCCATCACAACGGAAATTGAAGGTACATTTCGCTAGCCGCCATGGCCTCCAAAATAGACTATATTCTATTCTATTTGCATTGGTGCAATATTTTACACTGGTTACACTTATCCTACTGGAGTAAGCAATGACTTAAAGAAGCTTAAGAGCCCTATGCTATGAACCTGGAACAAAAACTGATGTGGGTAAAATGTGTGCCCATAACTAAAGAAATCAATCTATTTCTGTTGGTGGTAATTATTGTGGAGGAATTCGGGTATTACATATAGCGATGAAATACAGTGACAATATATTGTAATATTCCTCCAGATCCCCGTCATCCCTTGTTTACTGATGATTGTGAATAAGTATTAAATGTCAAAACTAGTCAAAAGTAACCTGAAATAATTACAGTTTCTTGAAGTAATAATAAAAGCTTCATGCGTTTGCCAACAGAAAAAAAACTACCCTATTTTTTGCCTTGAAAAATCTGGAACGGGAAACTTGAAAGTATTCTCAAAGCGTAAACACATCAGTTGTGCACTTGTGGTCTGTATAAAAACAAAGCATATGGGATATGGTCCAGAACACACAAAAATACGCACATCTGAACATACATAAGTTGACCTGTTGACTTAAAACGCAAAACAAATCCAGAAAAATCCGGTATAAAAAACAAAAGACAAATTAAAGTGTTTTCAACTTAACTGGTCCTGTGTTTTCTGGGGAGATGTTTAAAGAGCCTAACGCGCATTTTGAGAGAATTAATTATAAATGCAAAGGTCAGCTTTAGTTCAAAATCTAAAATATTGCAAAAGAGAGTCAGATGAACTCAAAAATCGCAAATAAGGACATTCCGAACAAACTCTGAATAACCAATGGCAGCAGATCAGTACGTTCCTGGTGTGTATACGGAGTTTCACGAAGAAATATATAATGGTATCAGATTTTCATCCTGGAGACGGATTTTGTATCCCTATGCTTATTAGATCCTTTAGAAGTTCAACTTGTTGTAAACGTTAAGAAAAGGTGAAAAAGTAAAAATATCCGAAACAGCCAAAGAGACTTACATGTACTACTGTTTACTCAACCACATGAGCCATCTCATTAAGTTCATTAAGATTTCCAAATTTGAACCACCACAGTTATGTAGATTCTCCTTGTGCCGAGCCTTAATATGGTAAGAATTGCACTGAGAGCAGCATAAAACCAAACCCCAGTCGCCAATGCAGTCCCCGGCACGGGCATACCAATGGATTTCTATACATACAAATGGATGATGTGTATAAAGCAATTCTTTCATATAAATTTGCACGTTTCTTTTGACATACACAGCGAAAGATACCTTATCTGTATGCTTCAGTCAGTACTGCCCCTTTTGATATTTCCAAAACAGGACTGAGCAACATTCTTGGAAAGAGTGATTTAGAGACCGATATTGTCAGCAGTCTTCAACAACTATTGGAAAGCACCATAACGAGTGAGTTGCTTGAGTGTATTGACGGTGTTTAAGGCAAATAGCTTAAACATTACCAGTGATAAGCTCAAATTGATTTGGTACATTTGTAAATGTTTTAGTTGTGTGATTGATAAGATTTGCGTTTACACTACAACTGTGAACATGTTGTTGGCTTACCTAACATGTCATGTATCTGGAGATATGTCTTGTTACAGAGGGAGTTGAAACATTTTTGTCAGACCTCAAGGTTAAGAGAAGTAAGATGGGAGATGAGCTCCTTGCTGCTCTGACTCCAGAAATATCGCAGGCTGCAGCAACCATCGCCGCCTCAGCACTCACTCCTCTCACAACAGGTTGCCTTTATTTTGACTTACTACTGTTTTCAATGCTCAATTGACGAGGCACCGTCATATAACTTGGAAAGATGGTGAAATCGCAAATGCCAAACAAAAACCCTGGTTACATTCACATTCTCAAAGAGACACTAAGAAAGAGGCACATATGCCACAAACAGGGTAATAGTTATGATTCCAGGCACTTTGTGCAGTTCTCAAGAATAAGTTCAATATTTTAAACATCTGTCTGTTTTTCATTTCAGCACTGAGCAGCGGACTTTCTTCACTGACCAGTGGAGCAGTGAGTGGTATCACACACGTCCTGTCATCTATTTTCGGCTGAAAAGAATATAGTTTCTTGTGTGTATTACAAATAGTAAACATGCGAGTCACAAGTCTCTGTAGTTCATTTTATTTTATTTTACGATCACACATTACGTCATATGAAAGGTGTAATATGAAACATGTAAATAATAGAAGTTCCGTGACAACAAACCTATATGCATATTACATTATGAAAGGACATACCATGGTTTAATATCCAAATATGCCACACAACAATAAATTATACGCATCACATAAAAATAAGCAGCACAAATTATTAACCTATTGATCAACGCAATTTGCAACTGTCAAATGCTACAGCAAATTGCTGTCCATGCACACGTCATAAAACAAACCCATGTTTGAGCAACAGTGTGTTCGTTGTTGTTGGCGTGAATGCATCCAAAATCGACGATCATGTTGCTGCTGGGGAATGTGGTGCAACTGTAAAATTGAACATGCTGAAGTACATCAAGTGTATTGGGCTGAGTATTGAAGACCATAAGCACAGTTAAGATGCCGCATGCCAGTCTACATACTTTCCATGGCAAACCATTATAGGTATCACTCTTGCAGCCTTTAAAGAAAGGCTCTTGTTATGATCTAGAAGCTCCGCACTTTGTCACACATAATCCATGTGTAGAACCTGAAATAGTATCTCACTTCTCAGAAGGTTTAGATAATGTTAATGTTATCACTTTTAAAAAGAATTCTACATCACACAGTATTATGCTTGATTCTGATAGGTCAAAATAAATTTAAAAGCAGGTATCTAATTCCATATGGTGCCTCAAAATGAACAAGCCTTTTCACAGAAATAAACTTTGCGTATGAATGCGTAATATAATATATATTTCCAATGAAGTTCCCAAAAGAGAGCTGAGATTGTTTTACCTGAATATGTTAACCAAGAAATCTGTAGGTAAAAGAATTTAGCGTGAAACAACCAACAAATGGCATTCAATTTGGCATTTAAAAATGAACAAGGTTAAAAATCAATACAAATTACCACACAGCAATTACAATGGCAGTACACAATAGAGTGGTAGTACAATATTCAAAGGCAGTATAAAATGTGAAAGCAGTGGAAATGATAATGACAAGAATAATAATCACCTTGCCGCAAAAGTTGTCAATCTTCCGAGGTAGGCCTAGGCTAAACACCAGGGTGAAAATTGATCTTCACACGAGGCTGGTCCTTATGTAATGTGAGCTGAAATGTAAGATGAACTAACCACTTCCACAGTGTTTGGCCAGTCCAGTGTCACGGGGAACATCACAGAATATTCCACGTTTCTGTAACGCTTGACATACATCCATGTTATTCTGAAAGTTTACAGATAATTCGAGTATCTAAATATAACTTCCTCACCACTGCTTACGTTAAATAGTACTACATTCCTGACAACTATTCATTGTCCAAATACAATTCAATGAACTTCTACTGAATCTCAACAGAAACAATGTAATACATTGTTAAATAATAAATTACACTGCCATATACCGTAATAAAAGAGCATCTTTTACAAAACCATTTGTTGCAAAAGCTCAGTGTGCAGTGATGTTTCAAATTGACAGAAAACTGGTCAACTTGACATGCTTGTACTCACAACTACTTGAGGAATGCACTTTTCAATTACTACGATTGTGGATGATGCACATAAATAGCATAAATTTGGATTTAAACTGACGAAGAAACATTACCAAACTGAAATTTGTTCATGTTGGATCCAAATCCCGAATAGTGTTAAAAAATTATTGAGAATCACCCAAATACAACTAAAACAAGAGTTTGCCACTAACGCGGCTATATCCCCCGCCCTAGTTGCAGAATTTATGAAATAATTAAATCCAAACAAACCCTAACCTTTTTTAACTGAGGTGGAACTTGTCATGGAAATTGTAAAAAAAAAGAGTTTGGAACCTAAGTCCATCTTGTTGCCATGGAAACGTAAAAAATAAAAATTTCTAAATTTTCTAAAGAGCAAAAGGCACCAGTTCAGCATGTACTTGACAGACCTGCAAAGTTTCATGAAAAAATATTGAACGGTTTCTGAGTTATGCTCCGGAAACAAAACGTGACGGACGGACGGACGGACGGAGCCCGTTTCTATATAGCCCGTTTCCAACTTTGTTGGGCGGGGGATAATAATTTGCGGAGAAATGCACGTGCAACAGTACTCTGATCAAACCAACTTTGGCATGTTGGCATGTTGTGCAGCCATAATTTTACTTCAATCTACAGAGATTCCAGCTTTTCCAAGAGGATAGAATAATTTTTTGTTCACAAATGACGAGGAGAACGTTATTGCATTCAAGAGATCGAACCATTTGGAGCTGGCAGCATATGTAGACCTTTCAATGCGGCATCATTACTCTTGCAATGTGGCATCTGCACCCAAGTCAGGAGAGATCTGTTGATTTTGAAAGGAAACATCACTGGACAGCGTTACATTGACCAATCCCTCTATCCTGATGTACTTCAGTACTGGCAACAGAATCCCCGAACCCTGTTTCAACAAGATGACACATACAACACCTTACCGTTGCCAGCACACTGACCATATTTATCACCTATAGAACACTTGTGGGATCACCTTGACTATCAAATTAGAGAACAAATAGGGCGCCCATATGACAAAGATCAGTTTAGCACAGGTCCTTTTGAGAACAATGGCGTTGAGTCTCATTTCTTGTGATCAGACATATCACATCTTCTTATTGTTTAGTTGGGTTGTGCAATGATTCCCCTAGTGAGCATACACAATACTGACATTGTGAAGGATTAAAGGGAGTTTCATGTGCTGATTTCAGTCTTGAGCCAACAAATGAACCAAGGACCCCATCCTCCAAGACTGTGGACATCATACCATCATTTTTGTTCTCATTCATGGCATAAATGTTAATGATATATAATTCATGTGTTTTGACAACATAAGTATCTTCCTTGACATTGCTCCTTGTTCCTAAAAACAATATTTCTTTCTTGTTCGTCTGTTATAGTTTTCCAAGTTGGTGTAAATGATGCTTAATGGGCATTTCACATCACAGTCAAAAACTGTTTCAGTCATATCACAGCAGGACAAGTGGAGTCAATAACATTGTCCAAGGATACGACACAGTAACTTGCATGATATGGCCTCTTGAAATGGAAGATGTGAAATGATTTTTAATAAATAAAGTGTCACAGGCAATACTGTCTGTCATACTTATGATTATGACTTTGTTCACGAACTCCCCTTTATCTTTGACGAGGATGGCCATATTGCGGTTGACATTTTTTTTATTGAGGCTGATATATTTTACACGAAGTTATGAGTTTCTTTTGAATCCCACCTCCAACATCGAAATCAAATGATCCACCCCTTAGTTGAGTCCCAACATTCCAAACAGTTCAACATATGCAAGAACATGCGATGAAAATTAAAACATATCAATGGAAGGTTACTAGGTGTCTATGATGTAATTTGTTACTATTATTTTGAACCACTTAAATAAATAATTAGTCTTGAACGTGAGTACTATTTGTTAGTTTTCTCTCTTTGGAACGTGCTAAGATAGCTGAAATTCAAAGACACAACAGTATCATTGTTAAAGCACTCCTGTCAGGAGATAGACCTATTTTGTTTTGAAACTTGTGGTAGTCTATGTGTATGTTATAAACCTCTTATTTATACACTTGAAAGCTTGTTAAGTGCTCGGCTCAGCTCCAAATAAAAGATGATTTATTACCTAATCATCAACCTGCTTAGAGAATAGTATTCATATTTCACAACATAATGAACCATTTGAACTAACTACTTACTACACATAAACCACGGACGAGGTAGGATAAGGTCCTTCGCCTATGAAAGCTGCATTATCCAATAATTGTCCAAAACCATGAGATTATCAATTTATGGTGTTATTTCGTCAGTTGGTCTGAAATATACTATGAGAAAAAAAGTAGCCAAACTTATCAGTTATGGAGTATGCAGGTATTGTCAAGAACAAGGTGAACCTGAAAGACCAAGTTATACTGCACAAACCAAGCGAACATTTATTCACGTTTTGCCAGACATGTTTCTGATCTGTTGATGTAGCACCTACGTACCGACAATGATTTGATCTTGAAGAAAGCATTGCAAACCACTGTGGTACGAAGACAGGTATATACCAAGTCACCGTGCTTGACCACCAACCACCGACCAGCTAAATTTGTGACTGTGATATATGAGTTCCGTCGCTAGGTAAATATTTTGGTCAAGTGACTCTCATCATGTGAGGCATGAGGGGCACTGAATTGGTGATTGTCGGGAGTGTTGGCGATGTCATAAGAAAAACGACACCAGTGATAACGTCGAGCAAGTGTCATGCCTGCATTAGTGAGTATGGTGTTACCACCGCTTTTAGAAATATTCAAGCAATGCCACAGCGGGGGACACCAGAAATGGGCTTCACACATTGTACCCATGTCGGGAATCGAACCGGGTCTTCGGAGTGACGAAGGAACGCTTTAACCACAAGGCTACCCGACCGCCCCGCAATAAGTAGTAAATGTCAGGAGATGCAGTCACATAAAAAATGGGTCATCCAAACTTAAGAAATTATAACCGGAAAAGTCATCGATGTTTAGATACCTTGAAAAAAAAGTTACTGCTACTGCTGTGATTGTGAAGAGACTATTTCAGACGAAGATGATGGATATGACAAATGACACTGGTGCTAACTGAATAACAGTCGTATGATTACACAAGGCTATGAAATAATACAGAAAACACAGTTGTATGACAGTAATACAATCACTCAATTATTACCATATAGTTAGTTATGATTACACTCAGTATATTTCATATCATACCCGGTTTTTCCTTTGCTCATAGTAACACTAGTTTTAATAAATCTCTGCTCTCAACACATTCTATGTGTCATACTTCACTTGAGGTCAGATCTAATTTTTAAATTGTCTGTAGCGCCAGTAAAATATTGCTCTAATGACCCTACGTTTTACTGTATAAAAGACTGGGATGATGCGCTGGTGAAATAGGATGTTCAACCAGGACATACTCAAGGCAAAAATGGGCAACAGGCT